TATTCTAAAGAACAGTAGTGGAGGAGTCAAAACACTATTGATCTGAGGAATTGAGTTCTAGTCCTTACTGTGCCAATAACCAGATGCTCAGTCTGTTTATATGCGGAAAATGAGTCCTTGGTCTCCTGAAAGTCAGTTCCATCACTTAAAATATGTAACAGACTGGTACGTATGTTATGTATGTTTACACTATTTCTCCTAATGTATCTGTCTTTGAGTAGGAACTCAGATACGGAGCACTACTTATATTTTAGAGTCTGCCAGTTTATGTAATAACAGGTGTAGATAGGACTTAAAATGGATTCTCCCTGGGGACAAGGAGGAGCTTTTGAATGCAATTAAATATAGTTGTCAATGTATACAAAAAGTGTACAAACAAGTTATAATCTATTTTGCTCTGTTATAATGCTGCTCTGGATATATTTCTATTGTGAAAATTTTAGTTTGCATTAATCATTCTGGATACCTATTCTCTCCTCATTTTTAGAATTGAAATCATCAGTGTAACAGGATACAAATTAAAGAAACCATTCAATTCTATACTCTGACACATGTAATATGTCAGGCCTGCAAACAATTCCATTCTACATCTATCAGCACACTATGAACCTCTACATGAATACACTTTTGCAACTGTTTATAGATTTTATCTATTCAAAAAATAGGAACCACCTGCTCTATCCTTTAGTTTGGCAATCCCCAACATTCATCTTTGTTAATGGTTTTCAATGGTGCTTGTTCTCCACAACTGTAACTCACACAGCAAAGCATCAGGTGTCTCAAAGTCCATGGAACAAACTACAAAGGAAATGTTTGTAGTCAATAGACTTTGTCCACTTCAGTTAAATAGGATCACATGGTTGTGAGGAGTGGGCTACTTAGACTCAGCATTTTCTACTTGGCCCAAGCTGAAGAGGTCATGACTACAGTGGAAGAGTCTACACGTAACTGACACTCTTGTTTTCCACCTAACTCATTAGCCTGAACACCCTTGCTCAAAACCTCTACTGTACAGACTGTAAAAAGCAGCAGAGTGTCATTTGGAGAATTAACTCTATTTACCAACAAGAAAATACATAGGTAAAACAAGGAATAAAGCAATAGAAAAAATAAACACCTTCAAATATTTTCATTTCTACCATGGTATTTCTGCAATACCAAAATAAAACTGACTCATACATGTATTTCAGAAGAAAATGCCTGGTTTTTAGTCACTTTACTGAACAAGGATTACTTACCAGCTTACAAACAATTTAGTACTAAGAGCATCAGGCAGATAAAGTACACAGAATTACTGCAACCAAAAGGCCAAGGGCAATAATATTTAGGTTCAAGATTTCATTTGAACTCATTTAGAACAGCAAGTTTAAAATACCTCCCCCAATGACTAGGCAAAGGCATAGTACACTGTGTGAGCTCTCAGCTGATATGCCCAGCAACTGAGATATTTAAAAAACAATAATAATAAAATAAAAAATAAAATAAAATAAAATGGGTATAATTATGCATGTTATTTTAACTATAGCTAACTTAAAACTTGAATAATCCATACACATGTAAAATCTATTTTAGATGGACCATAACGCTTGGAATATTCTGTACTAAAGAATTTTTCACAGAGCTTTTTAATTTTTTTATTAAAGGTTTTTATTTATTTGAGAGAGAGAAAGAGAGAGACTGTGCACGTGCACAAGCAGGAGGAGAGGCAGAGGGAAAGACAATACTGAAGCCAACTCCCCAGAGCATAGAGGCCCCACACAGGGCTCGATCCCAGGACCCTGAGATCATGACCTGAGCCAAAACCACAAGTTGGACTCTTAACCAACTGAACCACTCAGGTGCCCCACAAAGCTCTTCAATTTTATTAAAATATCATTGAAGTGAGACATTATAAATTGGGGCTCTAAAGTAAAGTAAAATTCCTTAATTTCAGATACATAGCCTGACTTCCTAGCTCTGTGATCTGTTGAGATCACCTCATCATTTTCCTCATTGTGAAAGCAGGTATAACACCTATACTCACCTCACGGGTTGCTTAGAAGAACCTAATTAAGTCACAGATAATAGTTCAGTGAAAACCCCTAAAATTATAGTTGTAAATAAAGATTAGCTACTACTATTCTTTTTTTTTAATTTTATTTATTTATTTGACAGAGAGAGACACAGCGAGAGAGGGAACACAAGCAGGGGGAGTGGGAGAGGGAGAAGCAGGCTTCCCGCTGAGCAGGGAGCCCGACATGGGGCTCGATCCCAGGACCCTGGGATCATGACTCGAGCTGAAGGCAGACGCTTAACGGCTAAGCCACCCAGGCGCCCCTAGCTACTACTATTCTTGAAAAAACTTTTCCTTGCTCTGAGCACATTGAACATTTTTCTTTTCTTCCTATTTCTGCCCTTCCTTCTCAACCTCCTTATCTGTCCTGTTTTTCTCTCCCAAAACATCAAATGTTAAATTCTCATATTATATAGAACCCAGGTCCTCTTCTCATTCTATTCTTTCCCAGAAAAAATCTAATTTTACCTCCCATGATTTTAATTACTAACTAGAAGACGATAATTCCCAAATGTGTATTTCTAATTCAGATCTGAATATACACGTGCCAACTCAACATCTCCACTTGGGTGTCTTGGAGGAACTTCAAACTCATTATGTCTAAAAGCAAATTCACCATTTTTGCTACCCAAACATAAATGTTGCCTATCTCAGTAAGTCACTCCAAAAATCACCCAATTATGCAACCCAGGACCCTAAGAGTAATCCCTGAAACGTCCTGTTCCTTACCTCCCAGGATGTAACCCATTTCCTACCTTCCCCATTTTACCTCTGAAATACATCCCTTTGTCTCCACAGCCACTATCACCTTCTGAATCTAAATTTACTATCCAATAGCCTCCAAATTGGTTTTCCCAAAGCAGTCCTACCCCTCCAATCCCAGCATGACATGCAACATTTAAAATGCAAATATAAAAATATAAAACAAAACAAAAAATAAAACACAAATATCACTCCTCTAGCTACAACTTTTCTTTGGCTTGTCAGTGCCCTCAGAAAAAGGAGCAAAACACCACAGATCATTAATAAAGCTGTGCACATGCCCTTTGTCTCCGTTGTCCTCTATATTCCTAACATCCTGGACGTTTTTCTTCTAAAATGCTACACTCTATCTTCCTTTAAGGCCTTTATTCATACCCACTGTGTTCCTCTTTGGGAATATGAAAGGTTTTTCCCTTCCTGCCCCTGAACCCCCATTTCTAGCTATTTCTTTATCATTTAGTTCGCTGTTTAATCAATACTTCCTCCAGAAGGTGTTTCCTGGTTCTCTGGACAAGGTCAGTTTTATTAATTATACTCTCACAAAGCACTCTTCACTCTTGAATCACAATCCTCAGTGCATTTGTAATCACTCTGGAGTCTGCTTTCCACACGAGATAATAAGGGCAAGCCTGTCTTGTTTACAACTGTATCCCTTAATCTTATCAAACACCATGCTTGCCAAAAGTGCGACAACTATGATATTGATAAATGTTGGCCGAATTAATTAACATAAAAAATGTTCTGGTTTAGTCCCTAACTTGATAATGGCTTATAATTTGTAGAGAAATGCACATAAAACTAATTCAAGACAGACTGTGCTAGCTTTTTACAGTAAATAAGCAAAAAAAAATTGCCTGATTCTGTAAGAAAGATAATCAGTTCTGGAAGAGGAACAAATATGAAGAAGGCTTCTTTCTAGTGCTGGGGTATGAATGAAGCCATGGAGAGCTACCACGACTTCAACAAGCGAACAGCAAAAAATATTCCAGGGAGACGGAAACTGGGGCAAAGCCATAGACCTAGTCAGGGTATAAAGAGAGACTGTGAGAAGACAATGTGCCTGAGTGGGGAGGTGTGCTGAAATATAGCAAATGGGCACACTGTGAAAAGTTGGAAAGCTTTCATTATCAGAATCAAAGTGTCTCTCAAGGAGAACCACTGAAAATTTCATCACTGAAGAATGATGAAGACAGCAAAAACATGTTAACCGATTAAGATTCAGGTGTGGAGACCAACTAGTAAGTGATTTCAATATTTCAGGTGTAAGGGAAGGAGGAAAGGAGGAAAAATAATTCTGCAAAAGAATAAACAACACTGCTCAAATGGGGAAGGGAGAGACCATTGACTAAATGGAAAATCAAAATAGAGAAAAGATGGAGGAAGGATGGGAAATGACGATTTCTGTTTTGGAAACCCTAAATTTTATGTCCTTATATAATGTTGACCAGGTAAAGTGTAGACCCAAGAAAGAAGATGCAGTTTCAAAAATTATTAGGCTCAGGGAAATTTTTAATTGGTCCATAATCAATTAACCATTAATGCAAAGTCTTGAGAAACATGTCAAAAGTTATTTCACAAACACATTTTTTAAAGACTTATTTATTTGAAAGACAGAGCATGAGCAGGAGGGACAGAGGGAGAAGGAGAGAGATTCCCAAACATACTCCATGCATGGAGCCCAACACAGGGCTTGATCTCAGGACCCTGAAATCATGACCTGAGCTGAAACCAAGAGTGGGACACTTAACCAACTGTGCCACCCAGGCGCCCCTCACAAACATATTTTTTATTAATAATGAAAAAATACCAAAAAAATAATAAAAGGTCTTTTATAATTACTGCCTGAGTTTTCAATATACCTTATACCTAATTTTTATTTTGTATGGTTAGGGAAAAAGCTCCTCAATTTTATCTTAATTTCACACTCTTTAAAATAGTTAATTTCCTACAATTGTTGGGATGGAAGGAACTCACTTATAACATGCTGACTTTCTCTATTCAGTAGAAGAATATCCTTTATGTTTAAAAGAATTCCAGTCTTTGTAATAGGCTCTGTGCAAAAGTTAAAAGTGATGAACAGAATTTTTTAAAAGGTCATTCTAATTTCAAAAATGTTAACATCTGAAAGGATGTCATCTTTAATTATCAGGAGGATATCTGAAGAATAATAAAATATAACACTTACTTTTGCTGCACCTATCTGTTCTTTGCGAAATTTCTCAAGTGGAGCAATTAATACATCATTAGCGTTTTGAATCTGAAATTAAAAATGAAATACATTAACTTCTGTATAATTTCATGCAAATATTAAAAAATAGATAGCTCCTTTATTCAACATACTTCAGTAAACAGCTTTTGTTCTCTTGTTGGCTTCTACAAATGAAATAAAAATACCTTGCATGTTGTATAGTATTTTCTATTTTATAAGGTTGTTTTCACAAATTATTTTACTTAATTCCAACAATAATGTGAATAATGGAAAACAACACATGTTCAGATCCTAGTCTGAAATTTAATTTCATATTCTAAGATGTAACTAAGAAATAACAGATATTAAATTACAAATACCTTTAATTACACTGGTTTAATGCAGTCACAGTTTAAGCATCATTTTAAAATTGAACCATATAAAGCTCTTCTATTTGCCATTATAATGTTATTCTACAGCTGCAAATAAAACAAGGCTCATTTTTTTTCTACTTAATTCGATTTCTTACACTTGGGATTTGCCTGAATGTTCATATATTTCCAACCCTACTATAATAGTACCTGATTTCATTTCAATGAACAGTATTTTAGCCCCAAACTCCAAATTGGGATTTACTAACACTTTAAAACAGATAAATATTTTAATTTGGATCTGTGAGAATATTGTGAAGAAGGCGTTTTCAGTGTGGGAGCCAGGAACTGAATGCAAGGGACAGACATTTCTAAGAAAAACAGTATGCTGGGAGGAAATCTTCAACTGAAAAAACCTTTAGAAAGCATTAAAATTAAGCATAGGATCTTAAATGTTCTCAACACACACAAAAAAATGATAATTATGTGACAGCATGGAAGTGTTAGCTAATGCCCTGATGGTAATCATTTTGCAATATATACATGTATCAAGTCAACCTATGCACCTTAAACTTACATAATATTATATGTCCATGATATCTCAATAAAACTGAAGGGATATTTATAGTTAACAAACAAAATTTATAGTTTACCACTGTGATAATATGATCTATTATATAATTAGCAAATGCTAAGATGAAGAGAAAACCCTATTTTTAAAATATATAACTATTTTAAAATAGGTTAAAGAATATATAGGAGTTCCTTATATCATTCTTACAACTTTAACATAAGTTTAAAATTATATCAAAACTCTAAAATTTCAATGAGTGTTTTACTTTCACTTATTTTCAATGAACTTACTATTGTCTAGTCAAGTTTTATTTCTCAAATTCCATATCTAAATGCACAAAGATAGTATACGCAAAAATAAAAACTAGAGTGTTAGTGCCTTCCATGATTATCATTCTCCAATTCGCAGAAAAATATGACAGATCTTGAAAAGAGGACTTAAACTCCTTATATAAAGACATATAAAGTAGATCAATACTCAAAATCCTTTCTAAGACATCAACAACAGACTGTAGATACCTCTGACATCCATCACCTAATACCCACTTGTGAGCTCAGACAGGCATCCCTCCAGATACACTGTGAAGGCATCTTTCTAGAGAGAGATGATTGGAAAGTAGCAAAGTAGCTCACTTTTAATTCTCACGCTCTAAATCTTCTTTGCCGTCATGAAACCCCAAATACGTATGCATGCGCACACACACACACACACACACATACACACGCACACACACATCTGCTTTTAAACTTAAGATTTGCATAAGGTGAAAGACAGTGTCATGAACACTTATGCGTAATTTGGAAAAATGATAACAATAAAGGCTAACATTTATTGAATGTTTATGTTATGCTGGAAACAAGCATGATCTAATATTTAAAGTTAGTGAATTTAAACAGGGAAGTATTTCTCAAGTGGCAAAAAGTCCAATAATAAGGATGTTGAATAAGATGATATGCAATATATAGCACAAGTACATATATTTAAAATCAAGAATACCTGGGTTTAAATTGGGGCCTGTTGCTACAAACTGCTGTTTAACCATTCTGAGCATCAGCTGCAACATCTACCCCAAAACTTAACTTGGTTCTAGGGACTAAGATAATGAATGTAAAACACTTAGTTCAGTGTCTTAATATTGATATTAATAGTGCTCAAAATTTATAGCTTTTGATAACTCCAAACTGATATAGATAATTAATCTCATTCTGTATTTACCTACTGAATAGACTTCTGTATCTGAATCTACAATATTACCCTTTGATTGAAGTGTATCTATGTGCATATTATGAGAAGGTATTTTCCCATAAAAGTCCTGAAAGACTGATGGCCTGGGCTCTCCCATATCCAATCACTAGGTACTTATGTACATGCCAAGCACATTGCTGAGGTCTATGATAAAGGGAAAAAACTAAGGCATGGACTAAACCTTCCAGAAATTTAATGTCTATTTGAGAAGAGAGAAAAATTTTATTCATTCAACAAATATTTGATGCTCTTAAAACACTGCTAAAATATTTGGAAAAATTGAAAGACAAAACTGATTAGCTTTGCATGATAAACTATGGAGAACTCCTTATAAATACATCAGGATTTTGACACCAGTAAAGATCCTTGAGAACTAAATGAGTCAAGGTAGGATTTGGATGATGAATGTGAACTGGATACACTAAAGAGACAAAAATATTCTAGAAACAGGGAACACCATAAATAAAGGCAAGGGGGTAGAACTAAGCCTGGTATGTGGGAAGGGAGAGTGCAATGCAGAAAAAGAAAGCAATTTATTAAGCACTCATTAAGAGTAAATCATGACTGTGAGTGCATTCACCTAGTTACAGGCCCTCAGTTAACTTTTGAAAAATGGGAATCCAGAATGAATATGAAGTATGTCAAACAGTTCTGGCACATAACATGCTTTATAGAATTAATACATTATTATCAACTAACAAGAACATTATCTAGCTAGAAAAAAGTGTATATATATTTTTAGTAGGAAACTTGGTTGGAATAAGGAAAAGATACCCATAATCTAGGAAGAACAGCCTTAACGTGGAATCCCTGCTGGGTTCTAAACAGAAAATTCATGTTGTAAAAACCTGTTCTAGGAAGCCAGTAATATGTGGGATCGTTTGAGAATGAAGAGATGCCAGGTAAATAGATGGGCGAGGAACTCAAGTTTGAAATAATTAGGTACTAGGATCAGGTACCGGCAGTGTTGAGGAACTGCTAACAGGGAATGGCAGTGTTCTCAGAAAACAGAAAAGGACCCAGAGGGAGAGGAATCAAAGGGGACATTAAGAGGTTTTGCCTCAGGCACTGGAACTCTGGCATCACATCAAGAGCTAGGGTAAATGAGGTAAAGAGTAGGTCTGATGGAGAAGGAATAAAGATGATGAATTTCACTTTGGATCTACTATGTTCGATGCCACGGGAAGACTCAAATATTTTGACAGAATATGCCATCTCAAAATAACAGAGTTAATTAAGATGAATGAAATGTTTTTATTGGGAAGAGAAGGATTAGGAAAGGGGCCAATTGATAGATCCACGTATTAAGACATTGGCACCACACTCGTATCCAATGGTTTCAATCTCTGCCGTACGTAAGTATGACCTGGGAATAAAACAAAACCTGAGGATATAACACATGAGATGTGAATTAACAACCACCCTATGAGGCAATTATTATTTCTTAAACCAATTTTCTTCATTTTTTTCTTTTGTTTTTGGATTTGTTCATTTTTCTCCTTTCTCTCTCCTACTCTCATTCTATTAATGTGAAACTGAAGGAATAAAAAAAAAAAAATCTCAGTGTTTTCATCCCTATACCTCTTAAGGTGTTTATAAAAATTAAAGGAGAAATACACATATTTTTAAAATAATAAGCACAGATTTGACATATGACAGCCTTTCAAAAAATGTTTCCTTCTTCACAGAATTTGCAGTGACTACCTCGTGTTCGGTCTTAAATTTCCCATGATTTTTTTCTTTAAAGATTTTATTTATTTGACAGAGAGACACAGAGAGAGAGGGGGAGTAGGAGAGGGAGAAGCAGGCTTCCCGCAGAGCAGGGAGCCTGATGTGGGGCTCGATCCCAGGACCCTGGGATCATGACCTGAGCCGAAGGCAGACGCTTAACGACTGAGCCACCCAAGCGCCCCACATTTCCCATAATTTAAAGTGTAATTCTTCAAAGGTAGAAACTGAATTGGAATTAATTTAACAGAACAGTACTGATCTACTGGATAGATAATAGTTAAACAAGAACCTATTTTTTTCCATAAGCCAGTATAACATGTGTGTGGTTTTATATCTCAAATATCATGCTTTTTTTGTGTGCAGTCAATGAACCGCTGTTCACAACATGTGAATCTAAACTCAAGACATCAAAATGGAAATGACAACAACACTTTTCAAAGGGCATGAAGTGGATTTACAACCCAATGTGGCTGCTTCTGATCTTTACTTTGTACATCCCCCAGGGAATGCATGCTTTTCATCCCCACAAACTGGTCAATCACATGGACAAAATTCTTCAATTCTGAAGTGATCCAAGTGTAAATTAAAGGTGTTTAAAATTTTAGCAGGTTTAAAAGAGGTACTGCTGCTACTGCATAATAAAGGAAAATGACATACAAAATGGTAGAAAACTATAATTAAAAAGTGAATCAGGGTACAACTCTGGTGACTTTATTTTCATAAGGTCTAAAAAAAAAATCTAGAGAAATGAAATTTTGGCTCACATGGAACTTTTTCTCCCCAGATTTACACAAGAGGCTTGATGAAACTTCTTCCAGAAGGTAATTCCAGGTTGGAGGGAGGCAGGGGGTATCAAGTCACAGAGTTCAGGAGATTCAAGATCCCATAATATTGTGGAATGTGTTACTTTGCATGAACTTACTAAAAGGCTTTAGGAAAAATACAAAACCAATTTTAATATTCTCCCTAGATACTGATAATGTAAAATCTTAAAAAGGTCTTATTTCAGTAAATAAGATATAATCAAACTTACTATCATAATTATTTTTTTTAATTTTTTTATTAACATATAATGTATTATTTGTTTCAGGGGTACAGGTCTGTGATTCATCAGTCTTACACAATTCACAGCACTCACCATAGCACAT